TCTCGGCTAGACTGTAATCCAGAGTCCACATGTGCACCCACCCGGAGGCAGGCGGATTTTACCTTCCTCCCCGGGCCTGGCGGCAAAGTCCCAGCTCCGAGGCAGAGATCTGCAGCGTCCTTCGTTCGCTGTAGACGAGGCTCAGAGCGGAGCGGGATTTGGGCGAGAACAGCCAGCGTGCAGGGAAAACCTGCTCAGTGTCCTCTCACAGGACCGGCGAGCGACAGAGCCGCCCACACACGTCCAGCAGGACCCAGGACCTCCAAGGTGCCTGCGCCGGACCCTGGTGGCCCCGTCTTCGGGGAGGAGCAGCCCAGCACTCGCGCCCGGCCAGCCGCCGGCTCTGGCATGCTGGGCTCTTAGCTGTGGCCCCTCCAGCGACCCGTGATGCAGGGTTCCCGCGGCTACCACTTCGTAGTCAAGGAATGGGAACCAGAGGGGTTGAGTGACTCACCTGCAGCCACACAGCTGAGGGATGGAGCTGCGGCGTCTGAGAACGCAGGGCCTTAAGTGGTGGGAAGCCGAGGCCCAGAGAGGGAAGGGTCTTGCCCACAGCCACACAGCGGGTGGTGCAGCCTCAGGAGAGGTCCCGGGACCCCTGATGGCACCCCCCACCTCCCACGTGAGTGCGTGGGCTGGTGAGTGGGCTGCGCATCCACGGACAGGAGCCGCCCTGGGCCGGCCCGGCCAGTCCTCGGGAAGGGGCCGGGGCTGCCCCTTCGCCCAGCCGGGCAGGTCACTCCCAGGACGACGCCGCACACGTTGGCCCTGGGCTTCTTGGGGCGGACGCTTCAAGAAGAACCTCAAAAGCCCGGGCCGCAGACCCCGCGCTGCGGCATTCAGTTGACCCCCGCCCCTGGCAAGGCCACTTTTAGCCCCCCGGGTGGGTGGTCTGCTCGTGACTGTGGCCACAGCCACGTGGGCTGAGCAAGCTGAGAGCCAGGCGCGTCCTAAATGCCGGGCATCCTCTCGTCCTGCCCGCAGGGGACCCTGGGGGGGACCGCCGAGTCTCCCTCTTAAAAAGCATGTAACCTGTTTTTATTCATGCTCCCCTCGGGGTGGGGGATAGGTCAGTAAAAATACGCTGTAAAAACAAAACATGTCTCATCACGTACGACTTTTAAACTGCAACAAGCCGTCCCTTAATCGCTTCATCCTGGTTTTCTAGCAGTTTTTGGCGACAGCGCCGCAAGCCCCTTCCCTGCTGAAGGCCGAGATGCGACGGGACTCGGGCCCATTAAAGCGGAAACCGTCTGCTCAGCCCCCAGCTCGAAGCCCCTGGGTGGGGACCTGGGCACCACTCGTGCCGTCTTCAGAGACTTCCGTCGTCAAGGCCGTGCAGCACAGCTCGGAGCAGGAGGTGGGAAAGCAGCTTTTGACCTGTGCTTTGACCGGGCATCGCACTCTGCAGACTCCTGCACCTCTGGCTTCTGCGGATTGTTCTTGATCGGGCTTGGTAAAAATAGCTCGCGGTGACCGTGGCGGTGTGGCCGGCCTCTGCGTGCTGGCCCCTGCCCGCCCACCCCGCGGTGGAGCTGTCCTGGCGTCCTTGCCTGCGCCCGTCTCCCGTGGACACTCCACAGGTCAGCCTGATCCTGGGTGTTCACAGACACCCCCCATGACCACGAAACCCAGTCACCTGGGAAGTCACTCTCCCTGCCGGGGACCAGCCCTCCTGTCGCCTGCCCGTGGCCCACTGCCCTGCAGGGCTGACCAGTGAGGCGGCTGCTGAATCCCCGCTGGCCTGCGTTAGACGGGGAGGGCCGTGGACGCCAGCTGGGCAGAACCCAGACTTCATCCTCTTACTCTTCCAAAGATGCCCTCCCTCTGTCCCCCTGCGCTGAGATCCAGGGCCTGGGGCCTGCCTGAGGCCACCTGGGACCTCGGAGGGACAGCGGCCCACCTCTGACAGCACATGAAGCCTGCGCTCGGCCGTTTGAAAAGCCCAGGAACGATTCTTTCTGGTAAGTGCCACGGGGTCCTCTGCCCACCGCAGGAGGCGCAGCCCAGGTGGCGCGCTGGACGGCAGCGGCTACACAGGCAGCTCAGCGCTGAAGGCTGGTCTGGTCGGTGCTGGTCGGTGCCGAGGGCTGGCGGTGCTGCTGGGAGAACTCTGACCACGATGACTCCCAGAGTCTCAGGAGGGGACCCCAGAGAGGAGGGATAGAGCTGGCGGTGGAATGATGGGATTCTCCGTTTTGGGGGATGTAGGACGATTCCCCTTGCTCCTCCCTGCCCCCGTCTCAGGGAGCCAGGCTGTCTCCATCTTTCACCCACGGGGCACGGTGGCGGAATTCTCCCCTGGAAAGGGGTTCAAGTCACCTTCTTGGGTCTCTGCTCCGGGTGCAGTGTAATTCCGGGGGGCCATCTCGCAGAGACGTGTGCAGATCAGGGTCGGCTCCTCGACTGACTCATCTCCCCGCCCACCCAGCTCCGAGAGGGGCAGAAACACCTGCTGCCCTGGAGCCGGAGCGAGCCCTCCCCCTGCCTCCGCCCAGCGCTTCCTCTCTGCCACCTGCCCCTGCATGTCTGGGGGCCCCAGCTGGGGCGTTTCCAGTGTGGCTGACAGAGGGAAGATGACGTTCAGACGGGGAACCACCTGCAAGAGGCCGTCCGCTCGGACAGTGTTCAGAAGCCCAAGGCGGCAGCGGCTGCGCCTGCAGACGCGTCCTCCTGCTGGAGCTTGTGGGGTGGGGGCAGCTGCGGGCGAGGGGAGGCCGGGTGCCGGCGGGTGCGGAGGACACGGGGGCTGGGGAAGGGAAGGAGCTCCGACTTGTCTGAAGGGGATGGAAGACACAGCTGGGGTCTCGAAGGGCAGGACTGTGCACGATGGTGAGGCCCAGGGAAGCGGGTCTGGGTTCGACTCTGTCTCATTCTGCGTCCTCAGGCAGGCCCGAAACGAGCCCCCTGGGCCTCACCTGCCTCTGGTGGCACAAACGGGCTGCAACCGTGGTTTGTGCAACGGTGGTTTGTCTGACGGCCACTGGGTTACATAAGAGGAAGCCCCGCTTCTTGGGAAATACACCAGAAGCATTCGGACACAAGGGCCGGGATGTGTGTGCTCATCCTCAAACCGTCCAGAGCACGGCAGGCACGCGTATCCATGGCGACTGCGCCGGCGGTCAGATGACAGAGCCCACTGAGTAAATGGACACGACCATTCTTTTCACTATTCCTGTTCTTGCAACTTTTCTGTAATTCCCAATGATTTATAAATAAGCTTAAAAATAATTCTGAAGCAGTTCAGAATCTAGGGGCATGGAAAGATCCCAGGGTATGAAGTAGAAGCAGCAAGTAGAGAACAGTGTCCCCTGTCCTTGGCAGGGGGCACGTGAGCACTTACCCACGTGTTTGTGCAATGCATGAAAATTGTTTCTGGTGGATTTCATCTCAAAGAAGGGGACCAGGGAGCTGGGTCTGGGGCGAGAGGGAGGTTCCTTCCTCAAGGCAAGTCGCTCTACCTTTTAAATGGTCGTACCACGTGCATGAAGTACCTAATCAAACACTCAAATGAAGCCAGGTGCGGTGGCTCACGCCTGTAATCCCAGCACTCTGGGAGGCCCAGGAAGGAGGATCGCTTGAGCTCATGAGTTTGAGACCAGCCTGAGCAAGAGCGAGACCCCGTCTCTACTAAAATTGGAAAAATTAGCCGGGTGTGGTGGCGCGTGCCTGTAGTCCCAGCTACTAGGGAGGCTGAGGCAGGAGGATGGCTTGAGCCCAGGAGTTGGAGGCTGCAGTGAGCTGTGATGACACCACTGTAGTCTACCCGGGTGACAGAGTAAAAAAGCTCATACAAAGTTTTAAAGAAGAGAAACTGATCAAATGAAGTGGGCGATGTGGTGAAAGTCCGTTCACGAAAGGGAAGCCTCTGGTCCACCCGTCCTGACACAGTGACGGGGATGAGTCTCCGGGGCTTTACGCTGAGATGGTCGGACACGGGCCAGTTACGTGTCTGCGTGGCCCGTTCACAGGATGCTCCGGAACAGCTGTCTGCGTGGAGGGCTGAGGCAGGCGCGGCAGTGGGAGCACCGTGTCTCCGCGTGGGTGGGGGTCGTGGTGCCGACTCCGGTGGCGACGCAGGCTCCTGGGCAGCTCGTCAGGACGCCCGTGAGTCGCCCTCTGCAGTGAGCGACCCCATCTCGCCCAAAGCGGGGGGCCGACAGCTCTCTGGAGCCTGGGTCCTGGAGTCCGTGGGGTGCCTGCTTTGGGTCCTGGTAAATTAGACTTTAGCCAACGCTTTTGGACACAAAAGGTGGAATTTGCCCATTTGGCGGCAGGCGGGTGGGGCCTCTGTGAGACCGCCTGCCCTCCAGGTCAGCCCAGCCTTAGGTGGCTCGACCCCTAGCTCAGGTGAGGAGACAGACGAGTGGACCAGGCTTGGGGCAGGCTGGGGGCTCTGGGGCCCCCCAAAATACCTCCTGAGCACCTGCTGGCATGGTTCTCCACGAGGGCTGGGCCGAACCCCTGACCCCCAGGTCGCCACGGCGCCTCACATCCCTTCCTCCTGCTGGGGACAGACCCACTGCTGGACTCAGCCTGGCTCCCTTATGCCCTGGTTTCCATGGCAACCACAAGGTCCTGAGGCTGCTTCCTGGAGGAGCTGGGGGGGGTCCCTGAGGTCAGGAGAGTGGACTCTGCTGCCACACCCCAGCGGCCAGACTCCAGCAGGCTGGCACCGGGACAAGGCTGCGTTCTGGTCCCTGAGCACCTGCCCTGCCGTCTGAGGCCCCGACTCGGCGGATGGTTCTGAGCACCGCGGGGCCGCCCAGGACCACCCCAGGTGACACCCTGCGCCGGGCCCGAGAGCGGGTTCGTGCCTGCGTGTGGGACCGGCCTGGCTCCTCAGCACAGGTGGTGGCATGGATGGTGCTGCCCGAGGCCGCTCCAGGAGGGATGAGCTGGCCCAGGTCACGCACCAGTGGGCCTGGCACGAGCCATCCTTGGCGGCAGTCGCGTGGCCCTGTGGTTGTCACAGAGGGTGCGGCAGGACCGGGCTCTGCTTGGCACACCCCCTGGGGCCCTCTCTGGGGCAGGGAGGAAGGACAGCTGGGTCTGCGGCCAGCTGTGGGTGAGGCCCCACTGAGGCTGGGGCCTGGGCATTGGCGTCCCCCCAGGTCCCGGGGTGGCTGCTGCTCCCTGCGTCCAGACTCCCTGGGGCGCTGGCCGTGAGCCTCTCCTGCCCCCTCGTCCCTGTCTAGAGGACAGAAAGTAGACGCCAAAGCTGCAGCGAGACACTGAACGCCGCCCTCTCAGGCCAATCGCATGAGGGCTGCTGTCCCAGGGCTCAGTCTGCATTGGCCTGGCTGCTCTCCCCGGCCGCACTGCCAGGGCCTGAGCCGGCTCCCTCTGCGCGATCTACCTTCCGCCCACGAGATGGCGCTGCGCACCCACGGCCCACCGCCTCCGCCAGGTCCAGTGGGCCCAGGGCTGGGGCACCGGGCTGGGGTGGCCGGGCTTTGAGGGGCTGCGGCCCTGTGATGCCTTCAGCAAACCAACCCGCCCACCGGGAGCGCTGCGTTGTGGAAGGAGGGTCTCCTCCCTCTGATGGTGGCAGAGCTTCTGGGGTCCAATCCCAGTGCTCCCCCGCGGGCCACGTGGCTCTGGGCAAGTGACGTGCTCTCCCCAGGAGATAGGCCACCACTTGGTCCTGACCCTGATAGGGCTGGTCCAGAGCCCTGGCCGTGCCTGATGGGGGGGCTGCACAGATGGGCTGGCACCGTCGTGACTGTGACTACCACCGACACCAAGGCCATGGGGGCGTCCCCCAGGCAGGCCCCTGCACACGCAGCCGCACACGCAGCCACACACACGCCTCCAGAAGGGGCTGTGACGTCAGCCCAAACACCGCTGGCCCCCCAGACCTCACAAAAGTGCCTCCCCAGCCGTCGGTCGGCGCTGGGCTGACCTGGAGCACAATGCTCCCCCACAGCGGGTGACCCTCCGGGCTGAGCCCCGGCCCTTCCTGCTGCGGACGCCGGGAGCAGAGTCGGCCGTACCCCTGTGCCCCGCTGCCCAGGCCTTTGGTACCATGGACCTGTCACACTCCCATCAGACGGCTGCAGAGAGGCCGGCGCGGGCCATGCGTCCCCGTGCGGAGGCGAGGGACTCACCGTGCTCGTGGTGAACTCTGGGGGGTTGTCGTTCACGTCCGTCACGGTGATGATGGCCGTGGCGGTGTTGGACAGGCCGTAGTTCAGGTTCCCCTCCATGTCTGTGGCCTGAACGATGACCGTGTACTGCTGCACCTTCTGGAAGGGAGACGGGTTGGGAAAGAACCGTGAGTCGGTCTGATTTTGATTGACAGGGCGGTTATGAGGCGAGATCAGTCCCCAGAAGGCAGGGGAGGCTGTTCTCCCGCGTGCTGGGACCGTACGCGGCGCAGCGACCCCCCAGCCTCTCGGAAGAACTTCTCCTGCCCTTGCCCGTGTCAGGTGCGGCGTGGAGGGGTCTGACTGTGCCTTCGTCTCGGCGGCCCTGCCTGTGACAGGCGCAGATCACGTGTGATCAGACAGAAAGGAGAACGCAGGCCCCAGGGAGCGCCAGCGCTGCTCTGGGTTTGGAAAACCACGGAGGGGAAATTTGCAAAGCGAGAGGCCATCCGGAGGGACTTCATTTCTTGTGTGTTTACTTTGTCCCGCGGAACTGCGGGTCAGAAATTCAAATGGGAAGAAAAGACAATCCCTCTCCCCTCTCTCTGCAGGTGCGGAGATGCCCGCAGGTTTCTTGTGAGGTCGCCGTCGGAGGAGCAGTCAGCGTGCGGGTGTGAGGTCTAGAAGGCAAATACGGCTGGTGGAGCCAGTGCGTTTTACTGGGCATCGGGGAGTCTCAGCCCTGCCCCACCCGGCCCTTGCCAGGGGTCCAGCGTGCTGAAGTCCCCGAGTCAGCAGAGGTGGCTTTTCCACACCCCTTTCTGACCCAGGTGACACACGCTTCTGGTCTCAGAGAGCTGCTGGGAGCACAGCCTGCCTCTCACTGGCACCCTTAGTGGAGCAAGGATTCTGGGGACCAGCGTGAAAAGGGACCTTCTGGGACGTTCTCCAAGTGACTGACACTCCTGAGTCTTGCTCCTGTAAGAGGTTAAAGGAAAGACCAGTTCCCAGACATGCGGCTCAGTGACACCTGCTCAAGGTCCAGAAATTGGCTCCGTAAGGAATTATACACAGCAGATGGGTCACCACCATTTTCCCTTTCCATCCATCCATGACCCATCCATGACCCATCCATCATCATCCGTCCGTCCATCTGTCCTTCCTCCCCCCCAGAGCAGCCCCAGGCCGCCTGGCAGCTGGTGACAGATGAATAAATGAGCCCAGCCAAGGCTGGGGGTTTCCCAGCACCCGCTGCGGGCAGGGCAGGCTGCAGTTCGGGGCTGGGGACGGGGGAGGGGGGGGGAGGCGAGAAAGCAAACTGGAGAGAAACGGTGAAAACCCCGCTGGGCCACGTGAGCCACGCGTTCCCGCTCACTGTTCCAGTGACCAGCGTGACTGCCGCGTGGTCCTGCCCCACTTCACAGACGGGGACACCGAGTGCAGCGAGAGACAGGCAGTGACACTGCCGCTCCAGGGCCACGCCGTCGGCTGGGGCAGAGGGAGGTGACAGCTGGGGTCCCCAATGCTGGCCTGCGCTCAGGCTTTGTCACAGACGAAATGCAGATGGCACCAGCGGCGTCCACAGCGACATTAACCAGGATGCCGCGTGGGTCACTGTCTGAACGCAGGATGACATCACACAAAGACGGCGGCTAATGATTGGCGGCCTTGGTGACAACATGGTTGGGGTCGGCCTGCCAGGCGCAGATGGGGGCGTGTTCGGACATTCGCCGGCCTGCGTCCTTGCGCGTCATGACGCTGCTCCTTGCAGGGGTCCCGTCCCTGAGGTTCCTCTGCCTCAGGGTCCCAACAGAAAGGAAATGTCCCTCCCTGGCCACCAGAGCAGACAGCAGCCAGCCCCTCCCTGGCCGTCTTCCCTCCATGCCGCTCTCCCTGCACCTGCGGGGCCGGCCTCGCTCTTGGTGGCCCAGCAGGGGCAGGAGCCGCCGGTCTCTGAGTCAGGGTCGGCCTCTGGCCAGGACGCTGCAGAGACAGGCTGTGGACGGCGCCAGCCCTGGCAGACAGGCTTGGGAATGTGAATCCCAATGCCAGGTGCCCGAGTCGCCCCGCAAGGGGCCCTGGATGCCGGCCCACGGAGCTCATGTCGTGCGTGCCCTGCCCGCGTGCACAGGCCGCGCCGTGGGAGCTGCCGGCCACTCTGCCAGATGTGCGTCACGTCAGTCCTGCCCTCCCCGAGGAAGCGGAGTCAGGTTTCCCGAGAGGCGCAGGCAGCCTCACGTTGGAAACTTCTCCGTTTCTCACCTGAGTTTCTCTTATTCTTTACAAATCTGATTTTCTTCTCCCTCCCAGGACAGATTCGGAAACTGAAGCTGCAGGGGGAGCTAAGCATCTTTCCAAAACCGGGCAGGGAAGCGAGTGGGCCCTTCCTCCTCGGAGGGCTGCCCCCTGCCGGCCTGCACAGGACGCCCTCGGGCACCCTGGCTGCCCTGCTCGGCAGTGCTGCGTGGACACGTCTGTGTTGTCGTGGGTCCCCACTGCAGTGCGGCCAACTGAAGGGCCAGACTGGAGAACAAGAGGACGGCAGAGGCCACAGGGAGGGGTCTAAACGGAGCGACAGGAAGGGGAACGCTAACCCCTAGGGAAACGGGGTCTTGTCATGTGACTGCGGCATGCCATTGTTCTGCCAGTCTTCATCTCTTCAGTTATGGAGTCACAGCCGGTATGCAGAAACCACTGCGGGGTACTGTGCTCCGAATACATTGAGAATAAACACTTTGGAAACACAGGGACACGTATGTGTGCACATGTGCGTGTACACACGTGTGTACGCCTGCGTATGGATGTATGAACATGTACACGTGTGCATGCACACTCGTATGCATACACATTCACGTGCATGTTTGTATGCATGTGCACACATGTATGTGTACAAGAGTGTGCACACGTGCACATATGTGAACATGCCTGCACATTTGTATGCATGTACATGCATGTGTGTACGCCTGTATGTATGTGCTGTGTGCTTGCATGAGCCTGTTTGTCAGCCGATTGCCACTAGAGGGCGGGCCAGGCTCGGATGTGGGAGGCAGGGCAGGGCCCTTCCCGGCCAGGCGGGGCGGGAAGCCAACGCAGCAGGAAGAGATGTCCGCAGGTCCCAGAAGACCCGGGGCCTTCCCAGGGGCGTGGCCTCTGATACGAGGCCAGGCCGGCTGGGCCCCAGGATTAACAGCGTCTCTGGGACGCAGGCAGGCCCCTGACCCCGTCACTGGGGCCACTGCCCCTTCCAGAATGCAGTCAGGGCCACCGGGCGTCCCTACAGACAGACATCCTGCAGATGTGCCTGGTCTGTGCTTAGTGGGGCTGGGCGGGAGGCTTGGACGTGGTTATTTTAAACGGCTCAGGCGGGATTTTGTTTCTTTGCCTAAAGCCCATTTCGTCCTTTGCTCTGGGCAGGCGACGGGACTCCAAGTCACCAGCAGGGCAGGGCCTGTGTCCAGGGTGCTCTGGGCCTCCTGGTGCCCTCATGGACTGCGCCGCTGTTCTTGTACCAAGTGGGGCCTCTGACCGGCCCCGAGGAGTCCGGGGCGTGGTGCCCTCCCCACTTTGCCAATGGTAAACTGAGTCCTAGGAAGGCGGAGGACTGCCTCGAGGCCGGGGCTGGTGAGTGCTGTGCTCCAGAATCCAGCAGCCTCCTGGACCTCAGGGGAAAGACAGATAACCCTGGGCTCAGCTCTGAATCATGCAACCTCCATGCCCCGGGTCAACCCTCCTCGGCGGTGGCTGGCGGGCAGCGGGCAGTACTGCACGCGTGGGGCTGGACACCTGGCAATGTCCTGAGCAGGGCCCCTGCCGGCCAGCCGAGCCCTCCCCGCTCCCGCTGGGGGCAGAGCACAGGGCAGATGTCCCTGGCACCGGCCACACCGTCAGCGCCGGAACCGCAGTGAATTCATTAAAACGCTTGTGGCCATCTCCAAGTTTGAGAGGAGGGAAGAAAGCGCAGCGGGCCGTCCCTGGGGCTTTCACCCACCTCCCCGAAGCTCGGCATGTGCATTTTGCAGAACATCCATCAATAATGCAGTCGCCGGCCTGCCCTAGAAAGGCATCAAAGCTTCCCGAGCAGAGCGTGCCCGCCTGTGCCAGCCTGGGCGGCCAGAATGCCCGGCGATGCCGCCCCGGGCCCAAGCCCGGCCTGCGGCGCAGACCCCGGAGTTCTCGCGGGTGCTGCCTCCCACCCCAGGGCGAGCAGGCCTGTCCTACCCGCTGGGCTGCAAGCATGCGTCCCCGCCACTCTGCGCCCTCGCGGTGATCTGGGGCCAGTATGGGTGTCAGTTAAGGCTGAAAGCCCCTCGGCCCAGACTCACAGACCTCGTGTCCCTTCCTCCACAAATGACGCCGGAGCCAGCGCAGGCACTGCCACTGCTCTGGGAGGTTCTGCAGCCCCGGTCCGGTCAGCGCTGTTCCCACTCCCCCTCCCTGCCTGCCACCCTGCCCCGAGGGGCTTTCTGGGCTGTCACTGCTGGAACCTCTGTCCCCTTGGGCTCTGGGAGGAGCAGATGGGGTCCCCCCATCCTCGGGTCGCGCGGCACTGGGGTTCTCAGCGTGCAGGAGCGTGATCGGGGCCTGGGATGAGGTGCTGGGGCTGGGGAGCGCGGGCGCCGTGGAAGACGGGCGGCGGGTGCACGCGAGTGAGGCAGTTACCGCGTGGCCTGGCAGCTCCTGCTCCGTAAATACCCACAGGCGCGTCCGCCCGTGTTCTCAGCAGCGCTGCTCGTGGCGGCCGGAGGTCGAAACAAAACGTGGCCCAACCGCACAGCTGAGCGCGCTCAGCCGCAGGGAGGAGTGAAGCCCTGCCACAGCCGCGGCGTGGGTGGGCCTCACAAACACGCTCCGTGTCGGAAGCCAGACACGGCAGCCACCCACGGAACAATTCATGTGAAATGTCCAGGCAAGCCCAGAGAGGAGGGAAGCGGATTCGTGGTCGCAGGGGCTGGGGGAGGTGGGGAAGGGGATGGAGGAGACACGGGAGTGAGCTTTTTGGGGTGACGAGGAGGTCCCGGAACGAGGTAGAGGCCAGGGTCGCACAACCTCGCGAACGTACCAAACACCACCGAACTGTACACGTTAAAGGAGCGAATTTCGTGGCATGTGAACGACACCTCTGGGCGCAGGCTCTAAAGCTCTGGTGTCGACCCGTCCCC